GAGGTGTTCGTAGCATCGGGTGTTCACTCCAGCCAGATAACACTGTATATGAAAAAAATGTATTTCTTCCGTCTTATTATGGGCTTTAATTGTACATGTTTTACATTAATGTGCAACGTATAAAAATCAAAAAAAAAGTTAATATTTTTCTTTTTGATTTTTTTTAATTATAGCATTTTTTATTTTTATTTATAACGTCAGATTTAAGTACACAAATGGGCTACTTATGCGTATGGACTCTAGATCGTCAAACGCTTGAGCAATATGATAAATAGACATTGAAATATATTATTAAATTGTATATTTTTGAAAGAGGAAAGGTGTGTAAAAAATAAATATGAATAAATGACATTAACTTTACTAAAGGTCTGAAATCATGAAAATCCCTTCAAGGAAATGGCAGAATTGAACTTTGTTGCAAGTTCACATGGGAAATCTGCTTACGGCACGATTGCAGGAAATTTTAAGAGACTAGCAGCTAGAGCAAGTCTTCAACTCCTGATGTTACAACAAATTCGTACACCCGAAGCCCTCTACCAATGGGGTACTTTATGTTTTCAATGGGATGCCTGTAAAAAATAACTGCAACTAACCTTTCAGTGGCCTTTATTTCGACTATGACTACGTGCCAATTACCTTAACCCTATTTTAAGCTAGTTTGAAAGGTTAAATAACATCAAGTTAGGGAACTTCATATCCTTATTTAACGAATCTTTAAATCAATAAATAATGTTTTTCTTTTTAGTTCTTATTGTAATAAAAGCGTGTTGTTGGTTTTTTTAAACTATAATTTTATTACTCATTAGGTTTATTTTTTTTACACGCCTTTCCTGTTTCTTGTTTTAATAAAAGGACTAACCTTGAAGCTATCATTGGAGGTCTGATATTCTTTTGCATTGAGTATTGTTGATGTTTCGGTTTCATTTAGTAAAGTTAATATCATTTATTCATATTGTTTTTATTTTTTAAACACCTTTCCTCCTTCAAAAATATACAATTTCATAAAATTTCAATGTCTATTTATCATATTGCTCGAGCGTTTGACGATCTAGAGTCCATACGCATAAGTAGCCCATTACGCCCATTTGGGTACTTAAAGTTGACATTATGGACAATGTTTTTATGTAAAAATAAAAGATTTTAAAAATGCTATAATCAAAAAAAAAAAATCAAAAAGAAAAATGTTTACTTATTTTTTTTGTTTTTTTTTTATACGTTGCACATTAATGTAAAAAATGTACAAATAAAGCCCATAATAAGACGGTCGCGCACAGAGGTGGCCGCGGTGACATGAAATGCCTCTATAACAAATTTGGAGCATAATAAATATTTGTTAGGGCCAATATGCAGCTTTTTTGCATTATTTTTATGATTCAGCGATTTTAAACTTATCGTAGAGTATCTGTACGAATCTTCTTTACGAACGGATTCAATGAGGCTTTATGAATTTCGAATTTACATTCGTAGCCATTCGGATTCAGTGATAGCACTTTCGTAGATTTCACGAAAATTGAGCCTACGATGGATTCTGTGATAGCCCTGATTGTATTGCCTAAAAATTCGATTCGACTAGTTTATTAAAATGGTAAAACTTGACAGCACTGGATAGGGGTCGACAGTTTTCGTCGTCTACTTATTTCTGCACGACAATAAGCAAAGCCATTCTTGCCGGCTCGTGATTTTAGTCTAATTTACGACGTACGCAAAGAGGCTGATTAAAATAAAATCACCTTGGGAAGGTGTGCCAGTCACTGTATATTAACAAAAAGGGTCATCAAAATTGGAGCTATTTGAACCGCTTCCGAGATTATGCAGTTTTTTTGCTTTCAGCTGCTCCAGTACACATCATATGTATGTATGTATTTACATATTAAGCTCTACCCAAAATTGCAGCGGGCGACCGTAAAGCGGTTGACCGCTGTCAAAATTAAAACTCACCAACACATATGGAATGTCATATAATTGCGGCGGCAGCGTTTTCACCGCCAACGTTTTTCGGTTGATTTAAATATATTTCTATTTTTACCGCCCCGTGGCGGCACACTGTTGATTGTGTGTGGATTTTTATAATTTTTATTATTTTCAGAAGTTTTCAATTGTTGGCATCCATTTTTATTTCCAGCAAATCTACGTATGCGCACGTACGGAAAAAAATGTCACTTTAATGATAATTACCAAGTCAAAAAGACAGCTTGCGGAAGCCGTCGTCTGCCGCCATAGCGGAATTATACCACGTGAAGTAATTAGAGCGATTTTGACACTGCCTAATTTGAAAAATTGCCTTTAAAATTTGACTATAAGGCAGACAAATGTCAGAAAATAAAGCGATAAAGCTGTTTATTACTTCACCTGTTTATTGCGCCATGGTCTGCCGCAATTGTGTTTACTAGGACGGATTCCACTGCGGCAACTAAACGCTGTTCACTTACCGCCGACCGCTTTACCGTCGTACGCTGTAATTCTGGATAGAGTTTTAATAAGAATTTACCAGCAAATTTCTTTCATTTTGTTTTTCGCTTTCATTTAATCCATCTAAATATAACTAGAAAACTTATTGAAAGTGCAAAGTGAATAAAGAGAAAGGCGGTCCTTATAACATTGGTTACGAGATAAATATTTATTGTAATTTTTACTTATTGTGATTTCGTTTCTTCCAAAAAATGTTGCCTTTCTACGGTGAAAAATGTGTTTGGTGTTACACTCAACCCTGTAAAAGGGCATTTTTTTTACCTTGTTGCCCCTTTTCCAGCTAACTCATTTCATAATATTGTCGTTTTGCGCAACCATCTGATTTTCAGGACAACCATTTCTCCTGGCAAAGCTTAAAGCGGCAGAGAATGTGCATCTTTTGCTTTACAAGAGTGTGACATTTTAAGTAACGAACCCAGAATTTTCTTACCGTTTGTCTTTATTTTAGAATCGAACACGCAAGAGAAAGGAGCAATCAAAAGGCGAATGTTTTTGGTAGAAACGTAAACACTATTAGTTATTATTCGTAGATGTATGTAAATATGAATAAAAGTAATTCCTTTTTTTAGATACAAGATATTGGATAGGCTAGACCAGGAGAGAAGAGTGATCCTGTTTCAGCATTTAGGCTTTATACACTGTCCCATACGCGAACATTGCCCATTCTTCCACAATTGCATTGACAGTTTAGTAGACGAATGCTTAGTAGACAAGTCCCCAAATAAAAAAGGTTCCAGCAACTGGAAGTGTTCGAGCTCCGACAGAACTTTGAATTTACTTATTGTCGGGTCCGAGCACCTGGCTAGTGATTTGCTCAATGATATTCGGATGTGCACTGGATCTAAAGGGGAATACGTGTATGAGAATCAAACTTATTACCTAAATTATCGCATTGCTAATGGAGATATGGAAGCATTTAAGTCAATTGACGTCCATTCGAGTGGTACGTTCGTAAATGATAATTCTATGTCTTTTGTTAATCATGTAAATGTATTCTATAGGTTTAATTTGTGTTTACTCAAATCAACAATCATTTGAAACACTTAAGGATAACCTAGAACGCACATTATTATGCAATTTGGAATTAGAGGACAAGTTTGAAAATTTACCCATCGTTTTAGTGTATCAACCTCAAGATTTAAAAGAAAATGAAGTTGAGTACCTGCGTAATGAAGGATTACGATTGTCTGAAATGCTGCATTGCGATTTTATTGACCATCAACAAAATCAACAAAAATATGTTTACGATATTCTTAATATTGTTATACTTTCTTTGAGACTTTCAGAAATGAAAAATTTAGATTCATATTCCACAAATCACATTGATCTACGTATACTTGTTTGTATGTTTTGTGGCGACCAATACGATATTGAAAACATTGTGAACCCATTAATAGCTGAATCAACAAATTGCAAATCGTCAGAACACTCAATTTTGATTGACGTGTTCATAGGAGACTCAAAGAAGCGGATTGAATTTATCCTATCGTCTTACCATGGTATTAATCAATATCGCGAAGAACTGATTCATGGGTATATCTATTTTTATTCTGGAAAACGTAGATCTTCGTTTGCTAATTTAAGGTAATTGTACATACAGATTCATTTAACGAGCATTTAAATATATTCTGCAGCATATCTACTTCCTTAGAGTTGGAGTAGTTTCAATTAAGTTTCTTATCGCCTACCACTCACATATGCGTATACTTTTCAGTGTTTTAGCCGCACAAAATTCCAACATTCCATTACAAATAATCGCAATAACTGAAAGTGGAGGCGCAAATGCTTTTTTTAGCAGTGAAATTTGTCAATTTCTAATAACAGAAGGAAATTCTTTGGCTGACAGATGCAAAGGCAATTTCATGACATTTTCTGCAGATCAATATGTCAAGTGTAAGTATATGAGATGCTTCTAGTTATTTAATGTAATGTTTTCTACTTTAGTCGCTTTCTACACTCCATTTTTGAAAAATGTCTGGGAAAATAAGTACGAAGTTGAGAATCTACACGTGGAAGAGTCAATAACTTTGGACTCCGGAGAAGGCACTTTAGAAAATTCAGTAAATCAACTGCCTAGACCACCGCCTCGGCATGAAAGTTATATGTTGTCTAGCACCATGGGTACGGATGGATCTGGAAGTGAGAATTATGAAATGCTTCCAACGCGATCTTTGAATTCGCTCAATGGTAAGCATTTATTTGCACTTTCCCCTTAAGGGTCTGGACACTCTAGACTATGCATTTTTAAATGAGGCGGAGTTATTGTCCGATTTTACTAATTTTAAATATCAGCCTGCCCTGTGCTGGAATCGTAACATCCGTTCACGGATGTACGTGATACGTCAGTCGTATAAGGTGCATGGGCTAATGAGTACGTTCACGTAAGTCATAATCCGAAAAATGTGACGAGTAATACGATATCATGTGACGATTCGAGCCCTGATATCTCAATTTTTTCATGAGTTATCTTAAAGCATGAACAGACGGCAGCGTTGATCCAGATCAACTCGGGGATTAACTGCAGTTGATCCGGATTAAGTCCGAGTTAATCCGGATCAACGCTGCCGTCTTTTTAAGCTTTTATGACCGAACAGAGAGATGAACAGTAGGACAGGATTCATTCTGAAAATTTTAGTATACAATTCGGGTCATCCTAAGTGAGAAGTATCGTACGAGACAAACTTTAAAGGTTTATAATACCGCTAATACACAAATTACAGAAGAAAATGTTTTTGCATTACGATCGTTCATTAGAATACCACCAAAAAGAAACCAAAAACCGACCGTTATTCGAACCCTATCCTCTCTTTTCCCCTGTCTGTAAAGCTTGCGACATCATTTGGGAGGTATGATTGCAATTTTATATATGATTTGATTTTTTACTATGAAAGAGCGAATAGCTAATACCAAACTCTATAATATTAACCTAAAAACCATACCTTTTTAATACCGCCTCATTCCGCTGCTTCTACAACTGGCGGCCACAGGTTTCAGGTAAACTAAAATTGGTTAATTCTGTAAAAGATTCTTCCACGCTCTCGCATACCGTCTTCAGCTATGACGTGTAGTGCTTTATTTTTGAAAACAAGGAGACCAAAATCAAATACATATGTGTGTATTTCTAAAACGAGAAGAGGTAGCGAAATAAATATAACAGTATTTTAAAGCTTATGAGATGCAGATAGAAAAATTACCTTGACCATTAACATGAACTTATAGGTTTTAAAGTTTTTCTTTTATTTCGCCTGAAAGAAGTGAGCAATGTACTTTTAAAAAAGTTTTAACCAGAGACCAAAACAATAATCTATATATATAAAAATGAAATGTTTTTCGTATGACGGCGATGCCTGACTAAACGGCTGAACCTATTTCAATTCTGTAAAAAGTACTTTTTTGGACCTTCTGTATGTTTTTCGATAAAAAAAAAATCAAAACTTTTTGTTGGTGTTGCCAAAAAATAAAGATAGCTGGGACGTCACGATTTCACAATTTCATAGAGTTTTCCATATGTGACCTGGTCTACGGAAAGGGGGCTTAGGTGTCAAAAAAATCAATTTTCACTTTTTGGTTGATTCGGATGGAAAATGAGATGATTTTCACTTTTAACAGCTTTTTCACAGAAAACTTTTTTCGCACGTAAGCTCCCTTTTCGTAGACCAGGTCACATATATTGAATGTCACTAAACTACCAAATGGCTGGACCGATTTCGTTCATACATATTTGGAACATATATCAGTACCTAGAAAAGAAATATTCTGACCAAAAATGCACTCGCTAGGTGGCGCTAGGGTCGGAATATTCCTAAAAACTGCATTTTCTTGCCGATCTGCCTCATATTTAGAATACAATTTAGCCAATTGAAAGAAATATTTGGACTTAAAACTTACACGATAGGTGGCCCTTTGACCGAGATATCCCCAAAAATTATCTTACGCTAAGAGAAGGATAGATATCTACTATATATTTGTGGAAGTATGTATGTATGTATGTATTTGCCAGGTTGCAGCCTAAACGGACGGACAGAATCGAACGAAATTTTGTATTTTTTTTTTGAGTATTGCCATGACACCTGGACCTATAATAGGGAGAAAAAAAATTGGGATTCGACAAGGGGGCGTGGCACCTCCCATCGGCGTGTAATTTTTTATCAGCTGTAACTTCGGAACCATATGTCACATGAACTTGAAATTTGCTATGCAGGCATATTTATGGTAGGTGCTTATAGTAAGCTGTATATGAATGAGTTTATAAAAGGGAGCGTGGCACATCCCGTAGGCGTGGAATATTTTATCAGCTATAACTTCGAAACCATAAGCCACATGAATTTGAAATTTGGTATACAGACATATCTACGGTAGGAGTTTATAGTACAGTATAAATGAAGGAGTTTGTAAAAGGAGGCATGGCCCGCCACATCCCGTAGAAGTGGAATTTTTTATCAGCTATAAATTCGAAAGCATAAGTCACATAAACTTTGAATTTGGCATGTATGCTTAGCTATGGTAGGTGCTTATAGTTGGCTGTAAATAAATGAGTGTGTAAAAGGGGGCGTGGCACATCCCATAGGTGTGGAATTTTTTTATCAGCTTTAACTTCGGAATCATAAGCCCCACCTTGAAATTTGGTATGGAGACATATCTATGGTAGGTGTTTATAGTAAGGTATATATAAACGAAACATGTTCATGTATAATGAATAAAACAACTTCTGAAATAAGCAGCTATACTAAAACAGTTAAGCGAATAGGAAGCTAAACGGAATGTACCATAGTAGACTAATTTTAATTTAAAGAATCTATCGTTACCTTAATCCAGCTAATATTCATAATGGAACAAGATTTTTAGTACAGAAAGTGATGATCAATACATATTAGTTGAAGTACGATAAAGCTAAGCCATACCATAAGCATGCGTTAATTTAAACAGAAAGAAAATATTTTTTCTCCTCTAATTAATGCTGAACTGAATATTTGTATTACTGTTTTATATTTTGATTTGTTTACCCCGAACGACGTCGGGTGCTCTGATAGTAAGAAATAAAATTAAATGTTGCTGTATAATTACTGCTGAACAATGGAAAAGTTGTTTTCGTCTCCTGAGACGAAAATAGGTAGACTATAAACTTTTTAGTCTATCCTAATAGTTATCTGGGACTTTTATTTTCTTTAGTTCCGAGGGTCGTTTATTTCAAGACGTCTTCTCATAATAATTATAAGGGACCTTTAATTTTGTTCGTCTCTCGGACGTTTATTTCAAGACGGAAATGATTTACGTCTTCTCTTAATAATTATATGGGATTTATTGAAAGTAAACTTCTTAATTGAGTTCGGAGATTTAACGCGTTAAATATTTAACGCCACTATTGTTAATGTCATCAAATCTGTATCGTTCGTTCGATTTTCACCAATCACGTGTCAAATTAAAGATCTTTGCTTTTACGTGGTTTAGTTTTTTGAAAAGGGTTGCCAGATGTTAGAAAATCAAATTCGGAGATATTTGCGTTTAATTTCGTGAAATCGGCTGTACGTGTAACAATTCTATTAAGATAAAACGTGAGACGTAAATAATTTTCTTCATTCTGAAAAATGTAATCCTTATGAAATTTGTTTTCATCAAATTATCGAAACTAGTGCTAACAAGAAATTTTAATACAATAAATTTTTTAATAATTGTGCGTGTTTGCATTATAAAAAACCATTAAGTTTTTTTCTAGTGAAATATAAATAACCTCTTTTGAAAGGACTTCGAATAATTTTTAGCTTCATTCTACTATGTTTATTTGTGGAAAATTTCTTGTAAACATTTCCCGCTATTATGAATAAATACGATACACGATAAATGCTTGCATTCTGTTGTGCCGTATTACGAACTAAATTCTAGCGTATGAAATCCGATAGCTACCTTTTATCGTAAATCGTTCAATTTGGGTATTGCCATACGATAGCTATAGTTACGGTGACCATATTTATGGGAGCCGAATACGGGGAAAAAAAAAATTATTTTTGCAAATTTAGTTCACAAAAACTTACAGATCTTAAAGGCTTCTTCCTACATGTATAAGCCCTGAAACAGCATCCTTATAGTAACATCACAAATGTGTAGGATATTTTTCACGAGATTTTTACCCCGCAAAGTTTCTTTAAAAAATTCGTGAAATTTTAATATATTACAGTGCAATTTTGAAGTTGCTAGTACTTACCGTTAATTTTTGGTATGTTCGAATTTTTTTTTAAAAGAGAAGCAAAGGAGCAGCACTTTCCACTCGCACTTTATTATGCTCAATTTTAATGAGATACAAAACTGGCCATGAATCACGTATGCCGATAATCGTCTGACGATATCGTGTTTTCGATTGTCTTGGTTTGTGAAAACCAAAAACTTTTTGATCGTAGTATTAAATAAACGTGCGTTCTTGTACGATAGTGAATTAAGTATCGTTTAAAAGAAAAAACAGGTACATACATATGTATTTACATATTTTATTATTTTTTAATAGTTTTTTTAAGTCTGGAATGGAGGAGATAGCTTTAATTCTTTATCCTTCCATGTAAAAACCGTATGCAAAAACATTTTTTTTATTGTTTTTGACAGACATTTCAGCCAATTTGTTCAAACAATGTGTTTGCCTTGCCTCAACTTAAATTCCGTCAGTGTTAATATACATATATCGCAATGGATCCTAAACTTAATTTTAACCTTCACATTAATGTGACAGTAAACGAGGCTAAAGATGTACTTGCATTTGTGAAACGATGGTCAAAAGAACTTAGTGACCCTTATATCACTAAAACCCTGTTTACAACATTAGTTAGACCGATTATGGAATACGCGTCGGTGGTTTGGAATCCAATGTATCAAATTTACTCAGACAAGATAGAATCAATTCAAAAACAATTAATACTTTTTGCTTTAAGAAATTTCCGATGGGATTCTCAATATAATGTTCCACCTTATACGAGTTGCTTAAAACTTATTAACCTTCCTACACTTGTCAGTCGCAGGCAGAGATCGAAAATAACCGTCACCAAGTGTCTCGTATGGTGTTTACCACTGACGCAAACACTCATCTCTCAAGCAAAGAGTGTTTCTCACCGTGGCAAATCACTCTGTGCGATCTTTTTGTGTTTTCGTTGTGGGTTATTTAGCAACTGCTTAAATTTCCCTTAGGCAAAGACACTTTGGCAGGG